CCTGTGTCCAAGTGGTGAAGATATAAAGAAACAGCAAGAAGACCTGGACGCATTTATAGACATGCTAGAAACAGAAAACAGCTTAAACTCAGACGAGGATTTACTGTGGAACAAATTGATCGAAATCTTACGAAACAAAAAGAGAAGCTCATCGAATGAACTAACGGAAAATGTATCTTCAATCATCGAAGAATTTGAATCGAACAAAGATTATTTGGATTTGAGAGAAAACGTGAGAAACTTTCGTCAAAAAAGAGGTATAATTGATGAATGCTGTGATCAAGCTTGCAAACTCCAAGATCTACTCAGCTACTGTTGAAAATTAAGTTCTTTGTAAGGTATTCTATGTATGATGGTTTTATTTAAAAATAAGGGTTATGAATTAAATGTTAGTGAACTAAATGTATTCGTTTATTTATTATCACCAGGGCACTTTCAGGTTAAAGTTTTTGTAAAGATAAAAATATTTTACAAAAATGTAATTAAAATAAAACATTATTTTTCTTAAGTTACTGCTATGATATTATGATAAGTAATTTGTTTTTTTTCTGAATCTTGAATCATAAAAGAAAAGCGAATTCTCTTTAATTATTATGTTAAATTATATTTTTAGAAATTTAACTGCTAGATGTTTAAATATAAGTGAATATTTTCTATCTAGAAAAAAAATATGTTCAACAATATAATCAGATCAGTGAACAGCCGATAAAAGCAATTGTTTTCATTTCAAACAATTTCAATTATTCTCAATCTTCGCTTAATTATGTAGATTTTGCTAACTCATAAGCTCAAGTAATCGCTAAGTAGTCAAAGCATGTATGTAAGTTCGCAATATTTAAGTTCATGTCAATCATTCAAACTTAGGCGAGTCCAATTAGTTGCGAAACTACATCATTGCTCGTCAGCTAATGAACATTTACTCTGTAATTTGATGACATTAGTAATCGGTACCTACATACTAACATGAGTTAAATTAAATAGTGTCAAAAAGCAGTCACTGACACTTTGATTACCAAAGCCTTTACTTAAGAAATACACAAACAAAGTTTGGTGACTCATTTGTTTCTCTTTCTATTCGCAAGTGGAATTCTTTGCCCGCGCACGTGTTGCCCTCTTCCTGCGATCTGCGGTACTTTAAGAGAGCTGTGAAGATGCATTTCTGCGGACCGGCAAGGTAAGGATAGTTGGTGTGGCAGTTTTAACTGCTGTACGAGCTATCTTCGCGTCTGGACTTTATCACCACTTAACATCACCTCACCTGGTTATAAAGAAAATACATAATTACCTATTGAGTTTTCAAATAAGAAATACATCAAAGTTTCAAAACCTGTCCTTTCGTTTGAACGCTCCAATGAATATAAGATAAACACATTTAACGAATATTATAGCATAATGGTAGATAGCATAATGGTCAGTGCATTCGTCCGGATAGCGAAGGTTGCGGGTTCGAGTCCCGTCTGATGCCTGGTCCGCGTGGACTTTTTTCTAGTTATATTTTCTTTACATTTAATCAATTGAATAAATAAATTGTAGTATTGTGAGCCTGACCCCGGTACAAATTTTGGATAAAATTGGATTACACCTTGTTATCGAGTTAAAACAAGTCCTCAAGCAGACAGATTAATCCGGTAATAATTAGAGTTTTGCGTCAATAGTACCTACGCAATCAGTGTTGCGGTGTAGGTAATTCTACGTTTGTTCCTTAAACTAACCTGAATAAATGCCTCCTACGCATTTATGGATATTAAAATAGTTTGATAATTTTAGGTTGGTAGGAGGGTTGCCACCCGTTCTCTTAAATACAGTATTGTACCTTTTTCATATAGAAGTGTTTAATAATCTATGACACGGATAAAGCGAGAATATTCTATTTATTCTCACTTTATTGAGGAGTTTTATTCGTTTATATACCTTGTTTCTTTTACTGACACCGCCGACTCTAGCTTTCTATCAATCCTCTCTATCCAAAGGTTGTCTGGAAGAAATCGTTTTAGCGATAAGGCCGCCCATTGAAGCACCCATTTTTTTACAATTGTAATTTCCCTCATTTCTGTTCTGTGTTGTGGTGTTTTCAATAAAGTATTGTGTATTGTATTGTATTATTTATCGTTGACAACATAAACATCAGCTTTACATTCAAACGTTTACCAAAGCGCTTTAAACACGCAACATACTTTAAAGCGTTCAAACGAAAAGCTTTCTTATAAGCATGCTTATAAAAAAAAGCACAACGATTAAACGTAGAATAAATTTAAGCCGTTTTCCCATCTCTAAATATGGGAGCCGACAGGGCGGGCACTTTTTCCTTTCTCTCTTTTCAACTGTCCGTCACTATCTTTTTTCCTCTCTTTATAACAGCGGTAAGTTCCCGTCGGGCGCGCCGACTAGATTCCAATTTGCATAATTCCAGGTTCGCCTAGTCGGTGACACCGCTGTAACTCACCGGGAAAGCTGGAGGTGGGATAGTAAAAGTTTGACTGATGGCACGTGTGAGCCGAACTTCGAAGTGATGCTTAGTTGTTTTTTTTTCGTTTTGCCAGCATTGACTCGTGGTTGTAGATTGGCATCTTCAACATATTATTTTCAACTGACTTCAAAAAATAGGAACTACTTAATTCGACGGTATTTTTTTTGTTTATTTGTTACGCGATTTCTCCGTCAATTTAGAGCCGATTTTCAAAGGTACTTTTGTAATTGCAAGAGTATACTCCCAAGGTGGTCCCAATTTTTTTTTATCGAAATTGTATACTGAGTTTTTTGAGAAAATCAACAAAAACAATAGTATGTATATTGAAGATAGTTATAGATACAGTTTTATATGGGAGTGTTGTGCGTTTACTTTACCCCTAGCATGAACCAATATCGAATTCGTATCGTTTGCGAGTCCGAAATGTCATTGTCAAATGTATACTGATTTTTAGTTATCGTTACGTACTTTGTGCCGCTGCTGTTCAAGCTTCCATACAAAATTCAAATTTTTTATTAACATTTCAGTTTTCAAACTATTCGAATTCGACATTGGTTCATGCTGGGGTATGTTTTCACTATTTTCACGATTTTTAAGTTTCTCAGGTAACTCTATTCACGCACATGAGTAAAAAACGGGAAGATGCTGGAAGAAATTGATTGCGTATTTTATCGGAAAGAAATTAATTCAAATTAAAAAAAAAAAAAAAAAAACACTGTGACGCTTATATAATAATATCATCTTTGAAGTTTCAGATAACAGATATTTCTACAAGTTATTTACACGCGATGCAATTTGACCGCAGCACCGCGTAGCGCGGGCTAATTGTAAAATATAGCGGCATGAATATAGCCACTGGTGCTACGATAACTGCGATTTACGGAGCGCGCTGAAATTATCGACATATAAAATATACATCCAAGGTCTGCAGTATCGTTGTGCTACGGTAAACGGTGGATTTTAGGGTTCCGTGCCTTAAGGGTAAAAACGGGAGGCGATTGCTAAGATCCCACTGTCTGTCTGTCACTAAGCTGTATCTCATAAACCGTGATAGCTAGACAGTTGAAATTTTCACAGATGATAGCATATTTTAGTTGCCGCTATAACAACAAATACTAAAAAAAAAAAAATTTAAGTGGGGCTCTAATACAACTAAGGTTTTTTTCGGTTTTTTGCTCAATATTAATACGCTTGAAATATTCACAGAATATTTAGTTGTATATTCACTTTAAAAAAAAAATTAAAATAAAATAAATATTTAATATGGTTTACCGGTGTTAAAAGTATAAATTACGACAGACTAAATAATCATTTAATAACAGTTTTTATATTATACTCACATCAATTAGCCTAGCCTAGGGTGGCCAACCATCCTGCTTTTCCAGAATATGTCCTGATTTTCGGGGTGTCCTGGAACGTCATGGATAGTTCTTAAGAAGAATCCTGGGTCTTTGAAGCGCCCCGACAAGGCCTACATTTCGACCTGTACTTTAATTTGATTACTAATTGTAGGGGCAAATCTATCGTCTGAATTTTATAACGAATTGTCCTGCTTATTAAAACTCCAAATCCATTAATCTACCGCGGCCCCGATGGCCATGTTAAATTTTCTGTAGCATTTCCTAGACTGCAAGGCAGTGCCTTCTTTACGCATTGTAGGTAACCCACAATTTCTAGTCTTTTAATATTATTTTTTTAAATAAATTTTCTTTAGATGTAACTCTTGTGTTATAGTCCACAAAAGTTACGTAACGTAAGTTACTGTCGGTAAGTAAGGTTTCCAGGGCTCCCCGTAGTAGGGGATTAGGTCAGTAGGGTAGTAGGCACGCGCGAATGATGATTGAAGTCATGGATATTTACATATATTTCTAGATAAATATACTTATATTTGTATTCCACCCGTTTCCCTAATATCCCATAACACAAACCTTATTACTTTGGAGCTAGGCTAATTGGTTAAAAATATATATTCAACAGGTAGCGCGGCCTTGCAGCTTAAATATACCTAGAAGAAATTTAACATGTTTAAATTCAATTGGGCTTAACTCCTCAATATTGTTCGGGGATCTGCGAAAGGAAATAAAACATAAAATTTGCAAGCCTTGTTTGTAAAACACTTCTTAACTTAAAAAATATTTATGAATAACGTATTGTTTTGGATGGTGATTAGTTTTTTATTGCCTCTTTGTGAAGTGCAGTAGGGTTAACTTACAGACACTGTAACAAAACAAAATAAGAATTTTAAGGAATATTAAATCATAAACATCGCACAATAGATAGGTGTTTGTCTTAAGTTCCAAATTCTCCAGGTACTACATAACCCCTTTCATAGTCCATAAGAATGGAAAGTAATAGTGGCCACTATAATATAAACAATAGTTAACGATGTTTACCCGAGTTAAGTATAAATTAGAACGACTTTAATGTATTTCGTTCATTTTCAACTCGGACACCGATAAAAGTGCATCGTGTCTTCAAAGCCCTATAACTTATCAGCATAGAATCAACTTTTAAACGTTGAGTAACAACAAACATGAAGAATCAAATTGTGTTCTTCTTAATTGTTATCAGTGTGGTAGATTTGACTTACGGCAAGTCTTCAGGAATTCTCTTATGTGGTAGACGCCTGTCCAACGCCTTAGCTGGCCTGTGTCCAAGTGGTGAAGATATAAAGAAACAGGAAGAAGACCTGGACGCAATTATAGACATGCTAGAAACAGAACTTCTTTCGGCATATGTATCTTTAAACATCGAAGAATTTGAATCGAACAAAGATTATTTGGATTTGAGAGAAAACGTGAGAAACTTTCGTCAAAAAAGAGGTATAATTGATGAATGCTGTAATCAAGCTTGCAAACTCCAAGATCTACTCAGCTACTGTTGAAAATTAAGTTCTTTGTAAAGTATTCTATGTATGATGGTTTTATTGAAAAATAAGGGTTTTAAATGAAATGTTAGTGAACTGAATGTATTCGTTTTTTTATTAGCTCAGGGCACTTTCAGGTTATAGTTTTTGTAGAAATTAAAGATAAAAATATTTTACAAAAATGTAGTTAAAATAAATCATTTTTTCTTCTTAAGTCACTGCTATAATATTATGATAAGTAATTTGTTTTTTTTCTGAATCTGGAATCATAAAAGAAAACCGAATTCTCTTTAATTATTATGTTTACTTATATTTTTAGAAATTTAACTGCTAGATGTTTAAATATAAGTGAGCATTTTCTATCTGGAAAAAAATATGTTGAACAATATAATCAGATCAGTGAACAGCCTATAAAAGCAATTGTTTTCATTTAAAACAATTTCAATTATTCTCAATCTTCGCCTAATTATGTAGATTTTGCTTTCTCATAAGCTCAAGTAATCGCTAAGTAGTCAAAGCATGTATGTAAGTTCGCAATATTTAAGTTCATGTCAATCATTCAAACTTAGGCGAGTCCAATTAGTTGCGAAACTACATCACTGCTCGTCAGCTAATGAACGTTTACTCTGTAATGTGATGACATTAGTAATCGGTACCTACATACTAACATGAGTTAAATTAAATAGTATCAAAAAGCAGTTACTGACACTGTGATTACCAAAGCCTTTACATAAGAAATGAACAAAGAAATTTAGTGACTCATTTGTTTCTCTTTCTATTCGCAAGTGGAATTCTTTGCCCGCCGCACGTGTTGCCCTCTTCCTGCGATTTGCGGTACTTTAAGAGAGATGTGAAGAAGCATTTCTGCAGACCGGCAAGGTAAGGATAGTTGGTGTGGCAGTTTATAACTGCTGTACGAGCTATCTTCGCGTCTAGACTTTATCACCACTTTACATCACCTCTAAACTGAATAGTTTACGCGAGAGACACTTCTAAAGTGGTAAAATGTGTGTCCTCCCCTGTAATTTCTTAAATAAGAGAATGATAAAAGTAAAAAAATATATGATGTACATTACGATTCAAATTTCTGCCGAAAATTGGTTTCAACGAGATCTAGGAAGTACTTTTTTTTAATACGTCATAAATCGTAAACTGCTATTTACCTTTCATTCAATCAACGCAAATATATTATTAATTATTATGCATAAACCGTGAATATAATAAATATACCAACTTGACGTTTCTAAAGTAAAACAATAATTACCTAATAATATGATTATTATATAGTAATCGGGTGCAAATTAACAGTCTATAAAAATGGGTTTGAAATATGAAAAATTTCATTATGCTCGTATCAATATCGTTATTTAGTGGTCAAGGGTTCAGATGGAGTGAAAATAATGTTCTTTGGCCCTCTTTAAAAACAATCTCCGAAAGCTATAATTTTTTGGGCCGCGATAGCATAATGGTCAGTGCATTCGCCCGGATAGCGAAGGTTGCGGGTTCGAGTCCCGTCTGCTGCCTGGGGAATTTTTTGTAGTAATATTTTCTTTAGATTTAAACAATCTCCGATACTTTTGATGTCAGTATTACGGCACAAAGCCATATTTTGGAAGTTGGCCTAATGATGAACTTAAGGTGCGATTTCTTGATCTCGACTAATGTTTGTGTATTCATTAATAGCACTCGTTAACTTATACTCAGTTATCAGGAAAAGTATACATCACATAAATAACAACATCACTAATTTGAGTTAACAACATTGAACTTCCGTGAGCATGTATAAATAACAACAGTTTTCTAAATTGAGATAATAGGGAAGATGACTAATTTTTTTTACGTTTATCAGGTAGATTATCAAAAAGTATTGCATACGTATTTTTTCTTTTTTTACATAATATAAACATTGCAAAGATATATTGATTTGAAAAGTCGCATTTTTTGATCATCTAACTGACGGACTAAATATAATTTCGTTTACTGAACCCCGTCATCACCCCTATTACGGTAACACTCAGAGACGCTAATTAAGAGCGGACGCGAGTTGAGAGACATTTGAGAAATAGGTATTTGTCAAAACTATTGCTGTCGCGCATCGGCCAATACCGTGCGATAGGGACAACAGTAGCTAACGCTGAAAATTGCGAATAAAAATGGCAGAATTTTAGGTTTGACTCTCGATGATTTCCTCCTCGAAAATAAGACATACATATGTCAAATAAATTTTACCCATAGAATAATAAATAGTTATACTATGCCTCTATGTTTTGCGAGGCGCCTTTTTGGTGATAAAAAAACGAGCGAGCCTTACAGTAGTCGCGTATGATGTGTAACATTTGAAACCTCACCTTATATTAGTGAAGAAAGAAATAAAACCTACTACAAAAGGAATAAGCCATTTGAACATTATGTTCTAAAATCAAATCAAATAGCGCGCGCTTTCGCGACTTCCTGTTACACACTTCCGTCCCAATTCACGAAATCACTCCCACAAATTGCAGGAAAGCGAGAGACACATCAAAAAATGTTTATTTTGGACATTTTTGCGGGCTTCTAGTTTCTTTGAAATCATTCTCTCATCATTACGACCTCCGTGGTCGAATGGTTTGTACGCCGGGTTTCATGATGTCGCCGACTCAAGAGGTCCCTGGGTTCGAATCCCGGTGGGGGCAGACGTTTGTGTGATGAATACGAGTATTTCTACTCCAGCCATGGATGTTTAATATGTATTTCTATATAAATCTATATATATAAAACTCAAAGGCGACTGACTGACATAGTGATCTATCAACGCACAGCCCAAACCACTGGACGGATCGAGCTGAAATTTATCATGCAGGTAGATGTTATGACGTAGGCATCCGCTAAGAAAGGATTTTAATCAATTCTACCCCCAAGGGGATAAAATAGGGAATGAAAGTTTGTATGAAACTTTGTCAATTTTAAACCGATCGGGCTGAGACTTTGCATGCAGGTATAGTATCCCATAACACAAGCCTTACAGTGCTTACTCTGTATACAACAATAGAACATTTACCGGATCTGCTGCAGATAGAATCTTTGATTGGAAAATCTTTTAAAATACAGCTTTCATTCTTAGAATCTAAATTAATCAATTGATCTAAATTAATCTTTAAAAAAATAAAAATTATAACTATAATTTATGATGACGGGTACAGTAAACGAAATTCTATTAAGTCCGTCAGTCGCAATCTGGGCGAATGCACTGACCAATTATGCTACCGCGGCCCTTGCGGACCGCGGCTAAATTCTTCTAGCCATTCTTAAGCTGCAAGGCAGCGCCATCTCTTCGCATTATAGGTAGCCCACAATGTCAAATGAATACTTTTACAAGTATTAAACATTTGAAAGAAGAAATTGCAATAGGGATGATGACTAATTCTTTTTCTTCGTTTATCAGGTAGATTATCAAAAAATAATGAACACGTATTTCTTCTTTGGGCAATCAACCAAAAATGACAAAGTTATAGCGCGTCAAAGTTTAGGAGTAGGGGCTCGTGACGTCACTTTTGAGTGAATTTTCACTTATAAGTGTACTCAAACGTGACGTCATGCGACTTTTCAAATCAATATATCTCTGCAATGTTTTTAATATGTGAAAAAAGAAAAAATACGTGTCCAATACTTTTTGATAATCTACCTGATAAACGAAGAAAAAGAATTAGTCATCATCCCTATTGCAATTTCTTCTTTCAAATGTTTAATACTTGTAAAAGTATTCATTTGACATTGTGGGCTAGCTATAATGCGAAGAGATGGCGCTGCCTTGCAGCTTAAAAATGGCTAGAAGAATGTAGACGCGGTCCGCGAGGGCCGCGGTAGCATAATTGGTCAGTACATTCGCCCAGATTGCGAAGGGTGCGGGTTCGAGTCCGTCTGCTGCCTGGTCCGCGTGGATTTTTTTCTAGTTATATTTTCTTTAGATTTAATCAATTGAATTAAATAAATTGTAGTATTGTGAGCCTGACCCCGGTACAAATAAAATTGTATTACACCTTGTTATCGAGTTAAAACCAGTCCTCAAGCAGACAGATTAATCCGGTAATAATTAGAGTTTTGCGTCAATAGTACCTACGCAATCAGTGTTGCGGTGTAGGTAATTCTACGTTTGTTCCTTCAACTAACCCTCCTCATGCCTCCTACGCATTTATGGATATTAAAATAGTTTGATAATTTTAGGTTGGTAGGAGGGTTGCCACCCGTTCTCTTAAATACAGTATTGTACCTTTTTCATATAGAAGTGTTTAATAATCTATGACACGGATAAAGCGAGAATATTCTATTTATTCTCACTTTATTGAGGAGTTTTATTCGTTTATATACCTTGTTTCTTTTACTGACACCGCCGACTCTAGCTTTCTATCAATCCTCTCTATCCAAAGGTTGTCTGGAAGAAATCGTTTTAGCGATAAGGCCGCCCATTGAAGCACTCATTTTTTTACAATTGTAATTTCCCTCATTTCTGTTCTGTGTTGTGGTGTTTTCAATAAAGTATTGTGTATTGTATTGTATTGTTTATCGTTGACAACATAAACATCAGCTTTACATTCAAACGTTTACCAAAGCGCTTTAAACACGGAACATACTTTAAAGCGTTCAAACGAAAAGCTTTCTTATAAGCATGCTTATAAAAAAAAGCACAACGATTAAACGTAGAATAAATTTAAGCCGTTTTCCCATCTCTAAATATGGGAGCCGGCAGGGCGGGCCTTTTTCCTTTCTCTCTTTTCAACTGTCCGTCACTATCTTTTTTTCCTCTCTTTATAACAGCGGTAAGTTCCCGTCGGGCGCGCCGGCTAGATTCCAATTTGCATAATTCCAGGTTCGCCTAGTCGGTGACACCGCTGTAACTCACCGGGAAAGCTGGAGGTAGGATAGTAATATTTTGACTGATGGCACGTGTGAGCCGAAGTTCGGAGTGATGCTTAGTTTTTTTATTTCGTTTTGCCAGCATTGGCTCGTTGTTGTAGATTGGCATCTTCAACATATTATTTTCAACTGACTTCAAAAAGGGGGAAAAACTCAATTCGACTTTTTTTTTGTTTATTTGTTACGCGATTTCTCCGTCAATTTAGAGCCGGTTTTCAAAGGTAGTTTTGTAGTTGCAAGAGTATACTCCCAAGGTGGTCCCAATTTTTTTTTTATCGAAATTGTATTCTGAGATTTTTGAGAAAATCAACAAAAACAATAATATGTATATAGAAGATAGTTATAGATACAGTTTTATATGGGAGTGTTGTGCGTTTACTTTACCCCTAGCATGAACCAATATCGAATTCGTATCGTTTGCGAGTCCGAAATGTCATTGTCGAATGTGTACTGCTTTTTAGTTCTCGTTGCGTACTTTGTGCTGCTGCTGTTCAAGTTTCCATACAATGATATTAACATTTCGGTTTTCAAACTATTCGAATTCGACATTGGTTCATGCTGGGGTATGTTCTCACTATTTTCACGATTTTTAAGTTTCTCAGGTAACTCTATTCACGCACATGAGTAATTACGTAATTAATCGGAAAGAAAGAAATTCAATTTTTAAAAAAACACTGTGACGCTTAATAATAATATCATCTTTGAAGTTTCAGATAACAGATATTTCTACCGTACCGAGCACCACGTAGCGCGGGCTAATTGTAAAATGTAGCAGCATGAATATAGCCACTGGTGCTACGATAACTGCGATTTACGGAGCGCGCTGAAATTATCGACATATAAAATATACATCTACGGTCTGCAGTATCGTTGTGCTACATAAACGGTGGCTTTTAGGGTTCCGTGCCCTAAGGGTAAAATCGGAACACTATTACTAAGATTGTCTGTCTGTCTGTCACCAAGCAGTATCTCATAAACCGTCATAGCTAGACAGTTGAAATGTTCACAGATGAAAGCATATTTCAGTTGTCGCTATAACAACAAATACTAAAAAAAAAGTAAGACTCTAATACAACTAACGTTTTTTGCGGTTTTTTTGCTCAATATTAATACGCTTGAAATATTCACAGAATGTTTAGTTGTATATTCACTTTAAAAATAAATATTTAATATGGTTTACCAGTGTTAAAAGTATAAATTACGAAACACTAAATTATCATTTAATAACTGTTTTTATATTATACTCACATCAATTAGCCTAGCCTAGGGTTGCCAACCGTCCTGCTTTTCCAGACTATATCCTGATTTTCGGGGTGTCCTGGGACGTCATGGATAGTTCTTAAGAATAGTCCTGGGTTTTTAAAACGCCCCGAAAAGGCCTACATTTTGACCTGTATTTTAATTAGATTACTAATTGTGAGGGCAAAACAACTGTCTTAGTTTTAAAACGAATTGTCCTGCTTATTCCAACTCCAAATCCTAGTTTTTGAGTTTGTGGTTGACAACCCTAGTGTAGGCCTAAAGTAAGTTCTTGTTATATTTTTGTTTTTTAAGCATATAACTGCTCAATGTATAAATCTCAAGAAAATTGTACTAAAAAAAAACCACGCGGACCAGACAGCAGACAGGACTCGAACCCGCGTTTTAATCCGGGCGAATGCACTGACGATTATGCTACCGTAGCCCCGATAGCCGTATTGAATTTTCTCTAGCATTTCTTAACTGCAAGGCAGCGTCTACTCTACGCATTGTAGATAAACCACAATTTCTAGTCTTTTAAAATTTTTTTTTTTAGTAAAATTTTCTTTTGAATGTGTCCACAAAAGTTACGTAACGTAAGTTACTGTCGGTAAGTAAAGTTTCCAGGGCTCCCCGTGGTAGGGGATTAGGTCGGTAGGGTAGTAGGCACGCGCGAATGATGATTGAAGTCATGGATGTTTATATATATTTCTAGATAAATATACTTATATTTATATTCCACCCGTTTCCCTAGTATCCCATAACACAAGCCTTATTGCAGTGCCTACTTTGGAGTTAGGCAAATTGGTTAATAAAATATATTCAACAGGTAGCGCGGCCTTGCAGCTTAGATATACCTAGAAGAAAATTAACATGTTTAAATTCAATTGGGCTTAACTCCTCAATATTGTTCGGGGATCTGCGAAAGGAAATAAAACATAAAATTTGCAAGCTTTGATTGTAAAACACTTCTTAACTTAAAAATAAATGAATAACGTATTGTTTTGGATGGTCATTGGTTTTTTATTGCGTCTTTGTAAAGTGCAGTAGGATTAACTTACAGACACTTTAACCGAAAGAATTAAGAATCTTAAGGAATATTAAATCATAAACATCGCACAATAGATAGGTGTTTGTCTTAAGTCCCAAATTCTCCAGGTACTACATAACCCCTTTCATAGTCCATAAGAATGGAAAGTAATAGTGGCCACTATAATATAAACAATAGCATCCCACTGCTCGGATGTTTACCCGAATTAAGTATAAATTAGAACGACTTTAATGTATTTCGTTCATTTTCAACTCGGACACCGATAAAAGTGCATCGTGTCTTCAAAACCCTATAACTTATCAGCATAGAATCAACTTTTAAACGTTAAGTAACGACAAATATGAAGATTCAAATTGTGCTCTTCTTAATTGTTATCAGTGTGGTAGATTTGACTTACGGCAAGTCTTCAGGAATTCTCTTATGTGGTAGACGCCTGTCCAACGCCTTAGCTGGCCTGTGTCCAAGTGGTGAAGATATAAAGAAACAGCAAGAAGACCTGGACGCATTTATAGACATGCTAGAAACAGAAAACAGCTTAAACTCAGACGAGGATTTACTGTGGAACAAATTGATCGAAATCTTACGAAACAAAAAGAGAAGCTCATCGAATGAACTTTCGGAAAATGTATCTTCAATCATCGAAGAATTTGAATCGAACAAAGATTATTTGGATTTGAGAGAAAACGTGAGAAACTTTCGTCAAAAAAGAGGTATAATTGATGAATGCTGTGATCAAGCTTGCAAACTCCAAGATCTACTCAGCTACTGTTGAAAATTAAGTTCTTTGTAAGGTATTCTATGTATGATGGTTTTATTTAAAAATAAGGGTTATGAATTAAATGTTAGTGAACTAAATGTATTCGTTTATTTATTATCACCAGGGCACTTTCAGGTTATAGTTTTTGTAGAAATTAAAGATCAAAATATTTTACAAGAATGTAGTTAAAATAAATATTTTTTTCCTTATAAGTTACTGCTATGATATTATGATAAGTAATTTGTCTTTTTTTAATCTAGAATCATAAAAGAAAAGCGAATTCTCTTTAATCTTTATGTTTACTTATATTTTGAGAAATTTTACTGCTAGATGTATAAGTGAACATTTTCTATTTAGAAATAAAATATTTTCAAAAATATAATCAGATCAGTGAACAGCCGATAAAAGCAATTGTTTTCATTTCAAACAATTTCAATTATTCTCAATCTTCGCTTAATTATGTAGATTTTGCTAACTCATAAGCTCAAGTAATCGCTAAGTAGTCAAAGCATGTATGTAAGTTCGCAATATTTAAGTTCATGTCAATCATTCAAACTTAGGCGAGTCCAATTAGTTGCGAAACTACATCATTGCTCGTCAGCTAATGAACATTTACTCTGTAATTTGATGACATTAGTAATCGGTACCTACATACTAACATGAGTTAAATTAAATAGTGTCAAAAAGCAGTCACTGACACTTTGATTACCAAAGCCTTTACTTAAGAAATACACAAACAAAGTTTGGTGACTCATTTGTTTCTCTTTCTATTCGCAAGTGGAATTCTTTGCCCGCGCACGTGTTGCCCTCTTCCTGCGATCTGCGGTACTTTAAGAGAGCTGTGAAGATGCATTTCTGCGGACCGGCAAGGTAAGGATAGTTGGTGTGGCAGTTTTAACTGCTGTACGAGCTATCTTCGCGTCTGGACTTTATCACCACTTAACATCACCTCACCTGGTTATAAAGAAAATACATAATTACCTATTGAGTTTTCAAATAAGAAATACATCAAAGTTTCAAAACCTGTCCTTTCGTTTGAACGCTCCAATGAATATAAGATAAACACATTTAACGAATATTATAGCATAATGGTAGATAGCATAATGGTCAGTGCATTCGTCCGGATAGCGAAGGTTGCGGGTTCGAGTCCCGTCTGATGCCTGGGGATTTTTTGTAGTAATATTTTCTTTAGATTTAAACAATCTCCGATACTTTTACTGTCGGTATTACGGCACAAAGCCATATTTTGGAAGTTGGCCTAATGATGAACTTAAAGTACGATTCCTTGATCTCGTCTAATATTTTACCTTAATACTCAGTTATCAGTAAAAGTATACATCACATAAATAACAACATCACTAATTTGAGTTAACGACATTGAACTTCCGTGAGCATGTATAAATAACAACTGTTTTCTAAATTGAGATAATAGGGATGATGACTAATTTTTTTTTCGTTTATCAGGTAGATTATGAAAAAGTATTGGACACGTATTTTTTCTTTTTTCATATAATATAAACATTGCAGAGATATATTAATTTGAAAAGTCGCATGACGTCACGTTTTAGTAGACTTTTAAGTGAAAATTCACTCAAAAGTGACGTCAAGAGCCCCTACTCCCAAACTTTGACGCGCTATAACTTTGTCATTTTTTGGTTTGATTGCCCAAAGAAAAATACGTGTCCATTATTTTTTGATCATCTAACTGACGGACTAAATATAATTTCGTTTACTGTACCCCGTCATCACCCCTATTACGGTAACACTCAGAGACGCTAATTAAGAGCGGACGCGAGTTGAGAGACATTTGAGAAATAGGTATTTGACAAAACGATTGCTGTCGCGCATCGGCCAATACCGTGCGATAGGGACAACAGTAGCTAACGCTGAAAATTGCGAATAAAAATGGCAGAATTTTAGGTTTGACTCCGATGATTTCCTCCTCGAAAATAAGACATACATATGTCAAATATATTTTACCCATAGAATAATAAATAGTTATAGTATGCCTCTATGTTTTGCGAGGCGCCTTTTTGGTGATAAAAAAACGAGCGAGCCTTACAGTAGTCGCGTATGATGTGTAACATTTGAAACCTCACCTTATATTAGTAAAAAAAGAAATAAAACCTACTAAAAAAGGAATAAGCCATTTGAACATTATGTTCTAAAATCAAATCAAATAGCGCGCGCTTTCGCGACTTCCTGTTACACACTTCCGTCCCAATTCACGAAATCACTCCCACAAATTGCAGGAAAGCGAGAGACACATCAAAAAATGTTTATTTTGGACATTTTTGCGGGCTTCTACTTTCTTTGAAATCATTCTCTCATCATTACGACCTCCGTGGCCGAATGGTTTGTACGCCGGGTTTCATGATGTCGCCGACTCAAGAGGTCCCTGGGTTCGAATCCCGGTGGGGGCAGACGTTTGTGTGATGAATACGAGTATTTGTACTCCAGCCATGGATGTTTAATATGTATTTCTATATAAATCTATATATATAAAACTCAAAGGCGACTGACTGACCTAGTGATCTATCAACGCACAGCCCAAACCACTGGACGGATCGAGCTGAAATTTGTCATGCAGGTAGATGTTATGACGTAGGCATCCGCTAAGAAAGGATTTTAATCAATTCTACCCCCAAGGGGATAAAATAGGGAATGAAAGTTTGTATGAAACTTTGTCAATTTTAAACCGATCGGGCTGAGACTTTGCATGCAGGTATAGTATCCCATAACACAAGCCTTACAGTGCTTACTCTGTATACAACAATAGAACATTTACCGGATCTGCTGCAGATAGAATCTTTGATTGGAAAATCTTTTAAAATACAGCTTTCATTCTTAGAATCTAAATTAATCAATTGATCTAAATTAATCTTTAAAAAAATAAAAATTATAACTATAATTTATGATGACGGGTACAGTAAACGAAATTCTATTAAGTCCGTCAGTCGCAATCTGGGCGAATGCACTGACCAATTATGCTACCGCGGCCCTTGCGGACCGCGGCTAAATTCTTCTAGCCATTCTTAAGCTGCAAGGCAGCGCCATCTCTTCGCATTATAGGTAGCCCACAATGTCAAATGAATACTTTTACAAGTATTAAACATTTGAAAGAAGAAATTGCAATAGGGATGATGACTAATTCTTTTTCTTCGTTTATCAGGTAGATTATCAAAAAATAATGAACACGTATTTCTTCTTTGGGCAATCAACCAAAAAATGACAAAGTTATAGCGCGTCAAAGTTTAGGAGTAGGGGCTCGTGACGTCACTTTTGAGTGAATTTTCACTTATAAGTGTACTCAAACGTGACGTCATGCGACTTTTCAAATCAATATATCTCTGCAATGTTTTTAATATGTGAAAAAAGAAAAAATACGTGTCCAATACTTTTTGATAATCTACCTGATAAACGAAGAAAAAGAATTAGTCATCATCCCTATTGCAATTTCTTCTTTCAAATGTTTAATACTTGTAAAAGTATTCATTTGACATTGTGGGCTAGCTATAATGCGAAGAGATGGCGCTGCCTTGCAGCTTAAAAATGGCTAGAAGAATTTAGACGCGGTCCGCGAGGGCCGCGGTAGCATAATTGGTCAGTGCATTCGCCCAGATTGCGAAGGGTGCGGGTTCGAGTCCGTCTGCTGCCTGGTCCGCGTGGATTTTTTTCTAGTTATATTTTCTTTAGATTTAATCAATTGAATTAAATAAATTGTAGTATTGTGAGCCTGACCCCGGTACAAATAAAATTGGATTACACCTTGTTATCGAGTTAAAACCAGTCCTCAAGCAGACAGATTAATCCGGTAATAATTAGAGTTTTGCGTCAATAGTACCTACGCAATCAGTGTTGCGGTGTAGGTAATTCTACGTTTGTTCCTTAAACTAACCCTCCTCATGCCTCCTACGCATTTATGGATATTAAAATAGTTTGATAATTTTAGGTTGGTAGGAGGGTTGCCACCCGTTCTCTTAAATACAGTATTGTACCTTTTTCATATAGAAGTGTTTAATAATCTATGACACGGATAAAGCGAGAATATTCTATTTATTCTCACTTTATTGAGGAGTTTTATTCGTTTATATACCTTGTTTCTTTTACTGACACCGCCGACTCTAGCTTTCTATCAATCCTCTCTATCCAAAGGTTGTCTGGAAGAAATCGTTTTAGCGATAAGGCCGCCCATTGAAGCACTCATTTTTTTACAATTGTAATTTCCCTCATTTCTGTTCTGTGTTGTGGTGTTTTCAATAAAGTATTGTGTATTGTATTGTATTGTTTATCGTTGACAACATAAACATCAGCTTTACATTCAAACGTTTACCAAAGCGCTTTAAACACGGAACATACTTTAAAGCGTTCAAACGAAAAGCTTTCTTATAAGCATGCTTATAAAAAAAAGCACAACGATTAAACGTAGAATAAATTTAAGCCGTTTTCCCATCTCTAAATATGGGAGCCGGCAGGGCGGGCCTTTTTCCTTTCTCTCTTTTCAACTGTCCGTCACTATCTTTTTTTCCTCTCTTTATAACAGCGGTAAGTTCCCGTCGGGCGCGCCGGCTAGATTCCAATTTGCATAATTCCAGGTTCGCCTAGTCGGTGACACCGCTGTAACTCACCGGGAAAGCTGGAGGTAGGATAGTAATATTTTGACTGATGGCACGTGTGAGCCGAAGTTCGGAGTGATGCTTAGTTTTTTTATTTCGTTTTGCCAGCATTGGCTCGTTGTTGTAGATTGGCATCTTCAACATATTATTTTCAACTGACTTCAAAAAGGGGGAAAAACTCAATTCGACTTTTTTTTTGTTTATTTGTTACGCGATTTCTCCGTCAATTTAGAGCCGGTTTTCAAAGGTAGTTTTGTAGTTGCAAGAGTATACTCCCAAGGTGGTCCCAATTTTTTTTTTATCGAAATTGTATTCTGAGATTTTTGAGAAAATCAACAAAAACAATAATATGTATATAGAAGATAGTTATAGATACAGTTTTATATGGGAGTGTTGTGC